CTCTTTCCAAAATTGAGATAGTTTTTCCCTGGTGAGTTTTTGGTGTTTATTATTCTGCACTGCTGTGGGTGTGCCTAGTGCTTAGAGGATTAACTGGCTTGTCAAAAATTGCTTGTGCTCAAAGGACCCCTGCTATAAAAACAAGATTTAAAAAAATAAGGGAAGCTGTGAGCTTTGGTAGCTGCGTGTGCCCCAGGTAATTTGCAACAGCCTTGTCCCTGGAGCAGAGGAGGAAAGTAGGTACCTGCCACGGGGCCATGCTGTTCCCTGCGTTATGGGAATAAAGCAGTGTGCTGTGGTTATCCAGTGTGGTTCCACTTGGCTCTAAGCAAAGAGGAGCTTCCCCACCTATATCCTGCAGTAACCATCCCTCGGCAATGTGATGCCTTTGTATTTCATGTGCGTGGCATGCAGACTGTGGGGATTCAAGCTGAGACTCTTTTGGCCAGCTGTGTCACTTGGAGCCACGTCTGTTCCCTACTGATCCCCATGTCCTGTCTTACTCTGAAGGCATGGAACTGGGGACAGGCTCTCTTGTCCTCCAGCCCCCGCACCAAAGCGATGTGCAAGGACCTGGCAGCTGCCAGGCTGATGGTCTGGGGTGTCCACGTGCCCCATTGTGCATCTCGCAGAGTCTTTGGGAGGGGGACAGGGACTGGCTCTTCCTCTGCAGCCTGTGTCAGTTATAAGGGAAAAGGGGAGCAGAACATGTCAGCTCTCAGACACCCATCTGCCCACCTTGGGGAAGCTACACACACACCTCTGCCCACGGGGCTGCTGGACGCAGACCTGACCCTGACTTGGGGTGCCTGGGTAAAGGACATAGCTGACGCTAGTGCTGCAGCTGCTCAGGTTTTGGTAAGTCAGCTTTAGCAGTTTGGCTTGTTGAGATCATTTGGTTTTGACGCAAATCCCACTATTGTCTCTGCCTCTATTGTCCCTGTTTCCTTTGTGCTGCTTCAGGTCTCTAAGCAGTTTTGGTGCATGAAAACTGCATTTTTTTGGATGTAGGAAATTAGGAGGCTCAGCAATGGCTGGACGGGCTGTTTTTCCCTATGGGGCCATTTAGGACACTGCTGGCCAAAAGACTCTGAGCACACACCCTGTGAGCTGGAAATCCCATGGGGGTAGTTGCTTGAAGAGTGAAATGCTACCTGGAGTGCTGCCCTGAGTGCTGATGAATGCAAACATCAATAGCAAAACCTAAAATTCCGAGCGATTACCTTTGGGATTGGATATTGAGTAGGGGCAGGAGCTTCGTCTCTGCCAAAGTCAATCAGAATTCCACATTTTGGTATATCTGCTGCCCAGATACCGTCAAACAACTGTCCCTTATCCAAGTAGAAAAATTTCCCTGGGCCATGCTTCTTTCCGTCTTTCCAACCTCCTTCGTACCGATTTTCATTTGCTGCAGTTAAATACATGAACAGACCATGAAATTTGCACCGTTTCGTTAAGGGGCTACAAACAAAACCAATCAACACAGCAAACCGACAGAAGAGGAAATAATCTGTTTGGCTCCTCTTAGTAATTTTGAAGTGTCTGTGGCACGGTGTGTTCTGCTTCTGCAGTGCTCCATTTGCTGTGCCACAGAGGGAGAAAAGCTGCAGGAGAAACCCAGGTTTGCCCACTTGGAACAAGAACTGCGTTCACCTGCTTTGTTTTCCTGGTAATGCTCTTTTTTTGCTGACACGCAGAGTGAGTGAGCTCAGGGTAAGACAAGTTGTGGAGTCACTTTTCATAACATGAAAAATTACAGGACAGAATTTTCGGATTTGTCACTGCAACAAATCACGCAGGATCTCTGGCTTTAAGAGGTTTGCTTGTCTGGGCAAGGAACAGCAGCACTGCCTGACTGTTGTCCAGTCAAAATAATCTTGATTTCAAATAGTACTTGTAGTTATGTTTTTCCTCAATGAATTACAGAGAAGGAATTGCTGTGAGTGTCTGAACGGTTCAGGCAATCAGTTACAGACTTTTTCCAGCTGTACTGGATCTCTTGGCATTTTTCTGCAAGTTGAGAGAGGTTTTTTTGGTCTCTGTGCTGCTCTCCAGGAGTCCATTCCTCTGTCACCAACAGGGAAAGCAGAGCTGCAAGGGGAAGAAAGCAGCCTTGTCCAGGGATGCTGGTTGAGAAGGGGCATCATACGCACGGTGATATTGGGGCTGGGATACATCCAGGCCTCCCTGCTCTCAGTAGGAGACTCCTCTGCTGTCCCCTTTTCCCAGATACGGTGTTTCTAAGCCAAAACTCACAGGGATTTCTGATCAAGTTACTTAGTGGAAATATCTTTGGGTCTTGGCCGACCTCTGCCATTCTTCATGGCAAGAAGTGGCTGAAATACCAGGGCACCCAGCACAGTGCCTCAGAGGTAGCTGGGGATTGCCAGAACATTGTAAGGCAAGAGGGAAAAATGAAAAATGCTTCTGGGGGGTGTGGCTGCTCTGGTTTACAGGTTGGAGCCATGGTGGTGATTATCTCCAGCTTGCATCTGGTGGTGTGCTTATCTGCAACACTGCCCTGCCCTGCCTGCTGGTGGGAGCAGCTCAGCTTCTGTTCTCCAGCCACCAACAACTCAGAAACCACCAAAATTACAGACCTGGCTGTGATGGAGGGGCCATCAAATGCACTGGCTGCACCGCAGCACCTGTCTGCTCCCATCCGCTCTGCTACCAGAGCATCTTGGAGGCTGTGTTGCTCACAGCCAAGATCTCCTCTTGGACATGCAACGCTCCAGTTTAAAAGCCGTTTGTCAATGGGCTTGTAGCAGCGGCAGCAAATCAGCACAGTGCTCTCAGCTCCTCACTGGGCACGCTGCCACTACAAGCAATTTAATCTTGAGCTGCAGCTCATCGTGACCTCCATGAAGGAGGTCCTCCTTTTCTTTCACCATTGCAAAGCTGCCAGCACATGGGCACACTTCCAGCGGCTGAGCTGAGTATGTTAAGCTTGTGGGTATGAAATAATTGCTCTGGCTAATTTTAACCAAAAGGAATCCAGCTCGCAATCGGTTCCAGGCTATGCTGGAGGCAACCAGCGTCTGAAATGGTGCATCAGCCTCAGCTCAGTCCTGAGGCACTGTCAGTTTATAATGTTGAGGGTGGCTTTGATGGGAGCGAAGCAGATCAGTGGAAGGAGTTGCCCCTGGAAGTGGGTGCTGATTTCATCTGGCTGAGCCACTGGTCCAAAGTGACTTTACAATCAACAGAGAGAGAGAGCAGTCGTGCATGTGATGTGCAGTGAACGTTGTGCTTGTTCCTCCTAGCTGCTTTGCTTAGCTAATTACTAGCCTTGAGATCACTTTCAAGAAAAAAAAAATAGAATAGATGAATAATGATATGGAGATAATATTTCTTCAAGTGTTCCTGGAATGCAGTGACTTGTATTGCAAAGAATTGGGATTCTTGGCTTAGGGGGGAAATGTATTAAACTCCAAGCAAAATAAGGGGTAAAAAAATTCCAAATTTCTATTTTTATGCTGAGATTGCCCCCAACATTCTCAATCTTTAATGTGCTCAATGTTATTTCTGGGAACGGATTGTGTACTAATGAAACCTCTGCGTTCACTCAGCATAAGCCAGTGTTGGAAGGAAGAGAGGGGATGGAGTGAACGCAAAAAGAAAACTCCCTCTTTTTTCTGTGCTGGAAACTGGACTCTGGTATGCAGCAGTTAGAAAGTATGCATGGCAAAGTGCCTGGCTTGAAAAGAGAGATTTTCTCTTCTCTGACCCAACAGTATATTACCTCTAACCCTAACCATTCCAGTCATTTAAATGTAAATCACAGCAGAACTTTCATGCGTGTGAGCATGAGCAGCACAATGCCGGCACTTGCACAGCCTATGCTGCCTCCAGCCCCAAACCAGGAAGGGAGGGATGACACAGGGGGGCAGCCACAGCCCTGATGCAAGGCTGCAGCAGGACATGTGATGTGGCATCTAGAAACCTGGACTGTAGAGGCATCAGAGCACCGCAACACCAAATACCTTGAAGGGAGCAGGCAGACACGCTGGGTGAGGGTGGCTGGTACTTACGAAGCCGCAGCATCCCCTGCCCGCTGGGCTGGTCAGCCAGCCACTGCCCCTCGTAGATGGATCCATCCCGGTAGTACATCCGTCCCCAGCCGCTCCGCAGCCCACTGCTCCACTCGCCCTCGTAACGCTCCCCGCTGGGGTAAAGCGTTGTGCCGTAGCCCTGGAGGGCAGCACAGAGATGGCTGGTTAGAAGCTTCTGTATTGAAAGGGGTCAGTGTTCAAGTTGGGGATATTTCTTTCTTGACATGCTACTCCTTTTCTTAGTATTCTTACACGTCTGCTGGTGGCCCAGCTCAGTGGCAGTTCTTGTGTTGAAGGAAACGGGAGGTGATGGTATGGGATATTTTTTTTGGCAAATTATTTTATTCCCACAACAAAATCCCAGGCTTGTATATCAGTGTGTTATCATTGGCAGGATCACTGCTGATATTTAGCTAAAAGCGGGTTTTACTAATATATAAACCTGCCTGTGGGTATGCAGCATAGAAAAGACCTGCCTCTCAACACAGGGATTTTATGCCTTTCAACCCTGAGGATGCTTTGTAGAGGCCAGTGTGTCCCAGGCTGGGCACCTCCTTCCCTTGCCCCTGGGCAGACCAAAGGTCTCTACATGATGCTAACCATGGAAATGGTTTTGCCTTCTCCTCAATCCATACCCTCAAAGGCATAATGTCCTAAACAGCCCCTTGCCTTGCTTCCTTCCTTCTTCACAAGAAACCAAAGGCAGCCCTGAAGGCTACCTGTGGTGAGACCTGCAGGCACAGGCAGTGATGCCACATGTGCCTCCCTGCAGCTGGACACCGAGCCAGGCTCCCAGGATGGCAGGCGTCACCCCGGCAGGGTGGGTGAGCTCTGACGTTGAGCAGTCTCCGCTCTTTGCTTTCTCTCCTCAGGCTCGATGCCACTGGCAGGTTTGGCTGATGAACTTCTGAATTAAGACCACTGGGTGTGTGCAAGCCAGGGACCCTAAGAGAAATCCAGAGGTATCCCATATACCAGGGAGTGATACCAGTAAGAAATATTTGCATATTACTTTTTTCCCATAGGAATAAAGCATTATTTTATCTCTGAACAAAAAATAAAATCAGTTCTGGAAATAACTGATTTTTCTGAGCATTAATTGTATTAAGCTGCATGGGTGTAAAGGGGAGGCTTTTGTAGAAGAAAAAAACAACCCTAGTGATATTTGGATGTCATTATAAATCTTTCCCCAAAGCTCAGTCATGCAAAATATATCCTCAAAGAACAGGAGGGGAAGCTGCATAGAGCTGCACACCAATTAGAAGCATAAGAGGCTATTAATTTAATTTAAGAGCAGACACAAAGCTGAACACAAGGTTTCCTTTGGCAGATCAGAAAACGTTCCTACAAGGATTTTGCACATAAGATTGCAGTAATTTTTACCAGATGACTTCCTCATTATGTTCCCTTTAGAAAAAAACAGTGATTTATGTGACAAGCTTCATTTCCAAAAGAACTCATGTTATTTGTCTAATATACTGTAAAACTCCCAGAAGAAGGTACATTTTCCTGCAGTGCTTATAATAAAAGTTCCTCCAACTGCTTCAAGAATGAGAGGAATGAAAGAGATGGGTGGGGAGGATTGAGACATGGGGTATGAAACCTCTCATCCTGCTTGGCCGATCTGCAGGTGAGTCCAAGCAGCGATGGCTGCTCTGTGGCAGCTGGTGGGAGGTCGGGGCTGTAGCCCTGTCGCCAGCGGATGGGTGGGATGGTTCCATCTCCAGTGGGGAGCCAGCGGGCAATGTGGCGTTCTCAGCCACGTGTGTCTTTTTATGAATGATGACTTTTACTCTTGAAGCTTCCTGGGCTTTCTGCAGGTTCAGGCAAAGATTTAAAGAGAGCCTAAGCCCGGAAGAAGATTTGTTCCTGTAGCTTCTGCCTGGAGTCACGCTGCTGCTTCCCTATTGCTGGCCATAGGACACAGTACAGCTCCTGCAGCATCTGATGTGGAGAAGTGAGTAATGCTAGGAGCAGTGAGACTGGGGAGGGCAGGGAGAGAGGGCTTAAATACCAGAGCTTTTGCTCCTGCTTTTATTCTCTTGTTCTACATATTAATTTCCTCAAATCCCTTCAATTCAGCCTCAGTATTTGAAAAATCAGTATTTTAAGTGATCTTTTTGCATGTGTGCACCTAACTCTTCATGACGTTTTGGGGAATGCTGTCTCACTGCTGGCAGGTGCAGGAAATCTCACTTACGCATTTTCGGTCGTTTTCCCACCAGCCTGTATACACCTTCTTGTATTCCTTGGTTACAGGGTCAGGAATGCTGTATGAGCCATAACCATCCCGCTTCCCAAACTTCCAGTCACCGCTATAAATAGCTCCAGTCCGTTTCCATACCTGTGTGCCTTTACCTGGTTAACAAACAAGAGGAACAATGGGGAGACCATCACGGTTTTTAGGAGAGGGATTACAGGGCTGCCTTCCCACAGCTCCACCCCAGGCAAGGCAGCATTGTCTGCGCCAATGCCAGTTTATGTCTAGGATTCAGTTTAGCTTCCCAAGTCAGATGCGTCATTAATCTTCATCAGGGGCTTCCTGTGTGGCCTTTGCTGAACACACTTAAATCTTCCCAAATCTTGGTTCTCTGCTTGTAAACAAGCCTGTCCTGCTCTGACTGCTCAGAGCTCGGTCAGGGTCTCCTTCCCCTGCTCTGTCTCCTGCAGCAGCCACCACGACTTGAGGATAAATTAATATTCCTGAAGCCAAGTCAGGAGCCAACAGAGCTTCAGGGAGTGTGCAGCCAGGACACATCCCAGTGCGTGGATCTGACTGCAGTTGGCTGTGTTTGCAGAGGACTTTTAAACATCTATTGTCTAGATGTTTTGGGTAATTGCCCCTGATTGCATGCAAAAGGTCTTCAAAGTACCTCTTAGAAATATTTCTGAGTACATTTTTGCATGACTTATATCAAAGACAGAGAGAAAGGGAGAGAGAGTCATACATGAATGAATGGTCTTCCAGGAGCATATACAACTCCTGACCACTCCCTGCCCCTAGGAACTTTTGTAAAGACATCTAAATCGGTGATTTTCTCAAAATGATCTATCTTACCATGTTTCAAGTTGTCTAGCCATTCTCCAGTGTAGCGATCCCCATTTACAGCATAGACCGTGTGTCTTAATCCACATTTCTGTGCTTTCCCATCCCATTCATGCCAGAGAGGCTCTGTAGCCCTGGGGTATTTTACAATGGGCATGTTGTTCGTGGCTGGAGAGGAAAACAAACAGTTGTCAGTAATAGATTAAAGAGAAATTACTGAGGTAGGTGCAGGCAGAAAAGTCTATTTGTGAGCTATATTTTAATATGCACCCAAACCAGTAATTGATGTCTGGCTTTGGAGAGGTAAAATAGAGACATAACAAATAGAAGGTATCTAAGAATACTGAAGTTACAAACCAGCACTATCTGGAAATAGGCAAGCAGCATAGCCTGACCTGTTAGAAAATGTTAAATAAGTCTCAGCAGGTCAGGTCTGTGGTGGGCATCAACCTCTGTGCCTGCCAGAGGTCTTTGGGGAGTACAGGGAAAGGCAGCCTCTTCTCCGTACAGCTGAAACCCTGACGGGCTCCTTCCCACAGCTGCTCCACTGCCATCTCTGCACAAGATGGGAGCAGTTGTTTAAGCAACTTAGAAAATTATTTGTTTGCTAGGAAATATCTAAGGACAGTAGAAAACATTCCCAAGATAGAGCAGGTCAGGGAGTTGGCTGGTGTCCCTGGGACCCACCAGAAGCTTCACGTGCCCAGCAGTGACATAGCCCAGGCTCCTTTACTGATAAAAATATCAGTCCTGCAGGTGTCTTGTTAAAAAGGGTCAAACCTGCAGTTTCTATCTACAAGGAGGCTTCAGACTTGCCCAGCTCATCAGTCAAACAAACTGCCAAGGAGGTGGCTTCTGAAGTGGGTTTTACAGCATGGACAGCAGGCAGGTGATTGTGGGCACAGTGGGCGGGTGATTCAGGTGTCAGAAGTCTGGAGGAAAGGATCAGCATGGGGGAAGAGATGGGATAAGAAGCTGGTTTGGCCCACCAATACAGAGAGGACAACAGCAGAATACAGCGTGGTGGTGATTTCTGGGCATTGCTGGCGGAACAGTTCACTGTTCAGTGCAGTGAGAATGCCGGCATGGACTCAGAGGTGAGAGTGGTGTCCTATAAACCATAAATAAATGCCAAGAGATGGCTGTAGAAACAAAAAGCAGGTTTCTATGAATGCTGACAACATCCAGAGCCTGGCCAGAGCCCAGTGGGGTGGGATGCTCTGCAATTTTGTCTCCTGGGCTCCCCCTTCTGTCCTGATTTGCTGGACTGAGACATATTTGGTGATTTTTCTGCACCTCTCCCTTCTTGGGTATGAACAGAGCTTCCACCTCTGCTGCGCCACAGGTGCTGTGGAGCCCAGCATGGGGGAAAGCTTGGAGGAGAGGGGAAAGGAAGGCGCTTCAGGTCATTGCTAGGGAACAAAAGCTAGAAATTATATCTAAGCTTAGTTAGCTTTCATCCTCAGTTCTCCACCTAGCTGTGGGAAATGGTCATTCAACAGCTAATTGGGGGATACCATTGCTACAACAAAAAAGATTTCTGTGTCCATGATGAGCCTTCCTTCCCCAAACACAGCTGCGTTGTGTAGTGTGTCCTGCATGGCTCCTTACCATGGGGCTGAGGGGCGCGTGGGCAGGGCTGGGGGAGCACAGGCAGGGCTGGGGAACCTGCCCGGGCACTGCATTGTGAGCTCGGACCCAGGGAGGGGTAAGGGTTCCTGCCTGGCTGTGGCAGCAGGAGAGGAGCTAGAGAGTGGGTTCACAGCTGGTCATTCCCCCTTCAGATGTCGAATGCAGATACCTCCTCCACTGACCTCAAGGAGAAGACACGAAGGCAAAGATCACCATGTTGCCAGCCGTCGAAGCAGATGTTTTGGGGACAAGGTTGCATGTGATGGCAGAGGAGGATTTGACAGTGGTGGTCACCGCAGCTGGAGTCCCCTGCCCATGCCACACACCTAGGAGCAACTTGTTTTGAGGACACCAAGGGCAGGATCTGTCCCTCAGTATGACGGAGTTGCAGCCTGCTGCAGATGATGGTTTTTCTGCAATGCAAATACAGGATACACCACAGCTGCTGAGTTCCTCCCTCACTTTTGGGCACCACAGCCCCTGGAGAGGGGGGCTCTTGACAATATTTGCCAAGGGCTGGGGGTTTGCAAGACCCAGAACCACACATTGCTGGCTCATGTCTGTCCTCCCCTTGCTGGGGGAGCAAGATATCTGAGCTACAGCTATGTGCACCCACCCTGACACCAGCCCTGACCTCTGAGCAGTTCATGACTCTGAAGAGAGGTCTCCTCACTAACCCTGTCAGATGGGAGCATCTCTGTCCCATTACCATATCTGGCCACTTCTTTAGCTCAAAGCTTAGGATTTAAAAATCTCGGGGAGGATTTCCAGCTGTGGGGGCTACCCCAGCACCCAGCTGTCTGCTCGCCATGCCCTCCAAGGCACAGCCCGCACAGAGCACTCAGGATAATGCAGGCCATCGAGAGCCACCTTTATTTGCTGAATTCCCTTCTCAATTTAGGACAGCGATGCCAGGTTTGCTTAATTGTTAATGTAGCCAGTATTCACCACCCTGGATGTTTTTAGCCACCTACTACAAGGGTGTGGGGAGGCTGGCAGCAAGAGGCAGGCGGTGCAGAGCTGCTCTGGCTTCTCTGCCACCACTGCTGCACTTGGGGATGAGGATCCTACAGAGTCCTGTGTCCTCCTCCAGACACTGCTCTGTGCTGTCACTTCAGAGCTTTGTCGGGTCTCTGGTAAAATGCAGCTTTAGTTTGCACAGCCCTACGGGAAGCCCAGTTTTTCCCCCTGGCCCTTCATAGGACTTCAGAGCGATGCAATTTAGCTAAGACTATACTTTTTTTCAGTCGTGCATCTTAACCTACTGAAGAGCAAGGTGAAAAATACACCCGGATGCAGAGAAGGGGCTGCTGGCTGTCCCTGGCAGCACCCTGCCTGCCACTGCACCACATCCATGCCAGCTCTGCCTGCGCAGGAGCACCCTGCCTGCCACCCAGCCCCGAGGATGCCTTGGGTGAGTTCACCCCTTGCACTGACCCCCACGGTGCTGCCCTATGCTGGGGTCCCTTTACCAGCACCCTCCGGAGCAGCCGAGACACCCACCTGTCCTTACTTCTCCCCATGGTGGTGTCTCCAAGTGGCATGCTCAGGGTGCCTTTTGTGGCTCCTCCCCAGTGGGACCTGGGTGCCAGAGCAGCGATGGAGGGCGGACAATGGGGAAAGCCCACGTGCTTGGTTTGCAAAGCACCCTCAAGTTTGGCCCATGCTCTCCTGCTGTCCCCCACCCCGAAGCCACCCCGCGGATACCAACCTGCGCTTGGTGCTCACTGGGTGCTGCCGGCTGCATCGGCGGGGTAGTCATAGCAACTCTGCCAAACTCTGTCGCGAAGGGTCACGGGAGTGCAGGAGAGCTGCAGGAGAGCTGGAGGAGTGAGCGGCAGAGGGTGGAGAGGGGTGCTGGTGGGACACGGGCTCACCCTGCTTGTACCACAGTGAGCATGAGGGATGGAGCCAGAGCTGGGCTGCTCTGCAGAGCTACCGAGGGCATGTTGCTCTGTGGAGCTACATTTCTTTCGAGTAGAATATAAAATGCTGATGAGCAATGAGCGCTTTGTGCTTCATCTCTGGTTGGTTTTTTTATATGCGCAGCAGCAGAAGGCTGGAAATGAAAGCACTGATTACAGTACTGATGGGTAACAGATAAATCAGTCTTGCAAATATCAGAAGAAAAAGGAGAAACCCTCTGAAAATGCACATCAGATGTCTTAAAAGAGAAAGCTGAATAAACCTGACACTCATTACCTCATCCATTAAATTTCTTCCACAGCCATGGGGAACAGGGATTACCATTATGACCTTGTGGGTGTCTGTAATAATTTTCCCTGACAGGTGCTTAACCATGCACATTTCAAGTATAAGACCAGAGTTCTCGTGTCACTCCCATGAACCAATGCATTTGTTTATTGTCATCCTTTTACATGTTTCATGCACAACACTGGAGGCTGGATGGTAAAAATTTTGAGGTAGGCAAGGAATCTTGGGTTGAAACAAAGCATTTCTCTCTGCGGAGGTGAGATACAGCTCAGTCTTCCCTGTGGGTGTTCATCTGGGAAAGCATCTTTCAGGTTCTGCTGGTGACTGAGTGACAGGGAATACAGCGAATAGTGAAACTGTAAGGCTGCTTCACCCAGGACTGTCTCTGCCACAGTCAGTATGGGGAGGGGAGGAAAAAACCCTCCTCCTTGGACTTATTCCAAGGGTGAGCATGACTGAAGGCGAATACTTCATTTCCCATGACATGCGTGAGTGTCACAGAGTGGGAGGAGACAATGCTGCTTCCTGGGAAATCAGGTGGAGAAGGAAAATGAGCTGGAGGGAGGCAAGAGGTGCTCCACATCCAGCATGAGTGGAAATGACGGAGGGAGGTCCGTGCCACAGGAAAATACAAACATGGAGTTTCTGGTGCTGGATTAGATGAATTGGGAAGGTGGCAGCTGCCGGTGAGCGGGTGCCAGCATCTCCTCCCTGGCTGCAGGGAATATGCCGATGCAGCCGGGTAGCTCTGCATCTCCCTAAATCCAGGGAGATAGTAGAGGTGGAACTTACAGACTCTTCTTTAAGCAGGAAAACCAGACAGAAAACTATGGAAGTTGACCAGTTTAGGATATACTTATACAAGAGAAAATATTTCCTGTTATGAAAAATGAGATTAAGATGTTCAGGAAGGATTTATTCATACCCATTCATGTAAACGCATTCTGGTTTTGGGCAGAGCCTAAGAATTACCATGACAATTGTTCCTGTGTTTTACCATGGCCAGTTGTACGGGGTTGGCATGGGGGACAGGGGTTTATGGAGGGAATGAGAGAAACCCCTGAGGCAGAAGAAAAAATGTTTACTGCAGCCCAAAAATTAAAGACTTGAATTACAACCAGAAATAGGTCCTTCTGGAAAAGCATTGATTATTTTAAATATTTCAGCCCCTGTATTGAACTGCACTTAACTGGGAATTTGTCAATTAAAATAATCAGTTAATTCAGATAATTTAACTTGTCTATTTTTAAACAGCATAGGTTGTCCAAGGCTTTTGAACTGCAAGTCCAAACTAGGTATCACATAACCACA